ACAGACTCCCACAGATGGTGCCCGGACAGGGACTTAGGTATGGAGGATAAAGAGAAAGAACACTGTGGAGCAGAGGGTATATCCAGTAATTAATTAAGTTGAGGCGGTGATATTCTATTCTTTGGGAGTAAAATTGTAAATATAAATCAGAGTAGTTAAAGTTAGGCTACAGCAAGTATCTCTGTCTCTGTTTCTGTGTGTGTCTCTCTCTATTAAAGTAAGTCATGTAAGTTTTGTGAAGTTTAGCTTGAGAAATATAGGTTTAGGTATATTAGGGTAGAATAGGCTTTAGGTATATAGGGATATTGTGAAGGCTTAGAGGTAATAGAAACTTAGAGTAGATCCCCTCACCCCCGAGTACGTACGTACGGGACCTGGGACGCAGAAAGCAGAGTCCAGGACTGAGCAAACACTGTGAACCTGGCCGTCTGAGAGTGAAAAGCTGCTTCAGAGACTGCCAGCTTCAGAAAGCAGCAGCAGTGGGAGAGTGAAGCAGAAACTTCAGACCCCAGCGACCGACCAGAGCAGGTCTGTCACCGGGAGCCAGCGTCCCCAGAGGCCAGAGCCCAGCCAGGGCTGTCCCGGGAGAATGCAGGTGGGGAGCCATGTGGGCAGCTGAGGAGTGAGAGCTCAGGGTGCTGTGGCAGCTGTGCTAGAGAAAAAGCCTGCAGGGAAAGATGCCCTCGGAGCACACACCAGGAGCATGTGTGCATTTGGGGACACCGAGGTAGGCCTGACTACCGTGAGCAGCGTTGGGGTGGGGGTGGGAAAGCCCTGCAGAGGCCAGGCAGCATCCCCAAGGGTGGAGCCTTGGCAGAGGCAGTGCAGACCCAGGGGGAAACTGCTGTGTGACAGGACACGGGGTGGGATGAGCTCTGGTGTGGCGAGAGCAGGAAGGTTTTGGAATCCTCATTGCAATGAAATGTTCGGGGTCTGAGCCCTTAGTGGCAGCAGGCAGCAGCAGCACTCCAGACTGAATGGTGGAGACTCACCGGAGGCCAGCCTGAGCTCCCAGCAGCAGGGTGAAGCGTAGGGCTGCCCTGAGGGCAGCAATTGGCCATGCAAACTCCTGGACTGGAGTGCCGAATGCAGAGTCACCAGCAGGGCAGGTAATGGGTTCTGAGGAAGCCACAGCTCATAGCGGCTGGGAGGAGGTTTGAGCCCTTGTGATGTGAGGAGGTTGAGAGCGGGGACTTCAGGACACAGGGTCCCTGGGCTGGCGGTCCAGAGATGAGAGATGGACCAGGACTGTAAAAATAAGCAGACTTGGAGCCAGCAGCTAAAGTCACGCCATTTCTGTTTGCTGATGGTGAAGAAATGCATGGCTCCTTTAAGGTTCATGCTGGCTGCATGGAGGTCTCTTTTGAAGAGGTCTGCACCAGCCAGCTATTGTGGCGCCAGCAGCTTTTTGCCCTGGAGCCTGGTGGGTATTGACCCAGGCCCTCCTGAAGCTATTTTGTGTTTCTGTCTTTCTTCTCGTTGGCTAGGTCTATTTTTCTGTCTATCACTTTTTTTTTTCCGAGACAGGGTTTTTCTGTGGAGCTTTGCGCCTTTCCTGGATCTTGCTCTGTAGACCAGGCTGGCCTTGAACTCACAAAGATCTGCCTGCCTCTGCCTCCCGAGTGCTGGGATTAAAGGCGTGCGCCACCACCGCCCCGGCCTAGCTATCATTTCTTAATTCCTCTCTCCTCTACCTAAGAACTCTTCAAAAGGTGGGAGCAGGTTGGAGCTGGACTCCCACTGAGTCTCACATGAGGTGAGTAGTAGGTATAGAGCAAACGAGAATGGGGAATTTAGGAACGATAGGGCACCTGGGAAACAACCTGAACATATTCACTGGCGGAACAAAGCTGCTGGCCGGAGTCACTGTTTGGTGCCAGCTGCTGACTGTGTGGGCAAAGCAAGTCAGAGTAAAGGGACATTCACAGTTGCCAAACAGGTACCCCACGTATGTGAATAAGTTAATACTCTTGAATATAAGCCATTTTTTTCATGAGTTTTGTTATACTAGATATACTAAGAAGACAGCATTAGGTTTGAGATCATGTGGGATAATGGTCCCTGCATCCATGCTAGACCTATCCAGATAGCCTAAGTACTTGCCTGGCACCACTAATTCCTACATCTCTATGGGATCTTTAGAAATTCAATATTTTGAACCAGCATCACCAACCTCTTAACTTACATGCAATTTCATTTATCGCCTTTCCTGGAACGTTGGCTCCTGAGGAATAGGGAAAGCATCTAGTTCATTTTCTCATCTTCTATCGAGTCTAATACAAGGAGTTCAGATAGCACGTTCTCAAAAAGTATGAATAAATATTGTTATCTATTGCCTAGGCCCTCAAGTAGTTAATTCAATTGTTAACCTCTATTTTAAATTTTATTTTACTTTTATGTGTATGGGTGTTTTGGCTTCATGTATGTGTGCACCACATGTATACACTATCTATGGAGGCCAGAAAAGGGTGTCAGATCCCCAGGGGCTGTAATTACAGGCTGTTGTTAGCTACCATGTGGACTCGGAATCAAACCAGGATCCTCTGGAAGAGCAGCTAGTGCTCTTAACTGATGAGCCATCTCTCTAGACCCCAATTTTTAACTTCCCAAGGAAAACTTTTTAGCCCTAAATTCCTTCTGGAATTTGAGCTAAATAATTTCTAGGACTTTTCTGAACTGTAAGTATTAGAATAATGATAAGTCATATGTCTATCTATCTGTCTACAAACTTACACATACATACACACATAAATGGGAGGAGTCAGTTTGATTAGCACAAATGTCATGATGAAATGCATTATTTTGTATTCTAACTTTACAAAATAATTTAAAAACTCGGGCTAGAGAGATGGCTCAGCGGTTAAGAGCACTGGCTGCTCTTCCAAAGGTCCTGAGTTCAATTCCTAGCAACCACATAGTGGCTCACAACCATCTGTAATGAGATCTGGTGCCCTCTTCTGGCCTGCAGGGATATGTCCAGGCAGAACACTGTTTACAAAATAAATAAATGTTTAAAAAAACAACAACAACAACAACAACAAAAAACTCTCGGTAGATCGGCAGGTTGATTGGGTTAGGTACACATACAGGCAATTAGTAAACATACCTCTGGACATGTCTGTGAGGGTGCTTGCAGAGAGTGTTATTAAGAAGGGAAAGCTGGTGCTGTGTATTGCTGGCACCATCGAATAGGCTAGAATCCTGGGCAGAATAAGAGGGAGGAGAGATGGAGGGCGTGCAGAAGCACAGGCTTAACTCTCAACCTCCAGTCCCCTGATGTGAACAACTCTCCCCATATGTCCTCCCCAGTAAAGTGGACTGAAACATATGAAACTGTGAGTAGAAATAATCTTTCTTCCCTTAAGTTATTTGGCAAGAACATTTTGTCACAGCAACAGAAAAACACAGCACGTTTTATAACATATCATTTGTAATATGTCACTGACTCACAGTGGAAACTAAAGAAGTATTTTCAGTGAACTGGCTCCAATAAAGATATATTAGTTGAGAAGAGACATATAGATGTTTTTAAAATTTAATACGAAGTATTGGTGAGTTGAATCTTCATTAAAATATACAAGAGAAACCTGTTGTTCAATTTTTCCCAGGGTAAAATTTAGTGTCTTTGGAATCATTTTGTAACATAATAACCCTTTAATTTAATCTATTAATTGAAGTTTCACCAGTTTTTTGTTTGTTTTGTTTTGTTTGTTTGTTTTGTTTTTTTCAAGACAGGGTTTCTCTGTGTAGCTCTGGCTGTCCTGAAATTTGCTCTGTAGACCAGACTGGTCTTGAACTCACAGAGATCTACCTGCCTCTGACTCCTGAGTGCTGAGATTAAAGGTAGAAGTTTAACATTTTTATATTTTATATTTATATTTTACTAACAATAGGGAAGCCAGATTAAATAGTTTATAGTAACATGGTAGTCAAATGACTTAACATCGCTATGGCCTGGAATTGTTTGATGACATTTTGTGTATGCTCTAACAAATAAAGCTTGCCTGAAGATCAGAGGGCAAAGCCAGCCACTAGTTATCCATAGAGGCCGGGCAGTGGTGGCACACACCTTTAATCCTAGCACTTGGAATCTCATGGCTTTACTTCCAGCACAAGGGAGGTAGAGACAGGAAGAGCTATGGTTGGGCAGAGAAAGGAATATAAGTTGGGAGGAGACAGGAGCTCAGTCCTCTTTGTATGAGGAGTTGGTGAGGTGAGAGGTGACTGTGGCTCGTTCCTTTGTCAGTCTGATCTTTCAGCATTTACCCCCATATCTGGCTCCAGGTTTTTCATTAAGACCAATTAGGATTCGTGCTACATTTTGAGTGTTTCAAGGTTTCATGTATTGAAAATGTGGTATTCAGTGCAGCAATGTTAGGAACAGGTGAAACCTTGAGAGTGGGGTCTGGTGGAAGGTAATCAGGTTATTGGAGGTACTAACCTGGGAAGTAATGGATGGGGTTCCTGTGGACCCCAGTTAGTTCTTGTGAAAGAAGGCTGTTATAAAATAGACAAACTGGCCCCTCCCCCACTATCTGGCTTCTGTTTCATCACATGATCTCTCTTTCTTGCTTATGATCTTGCTATGATGTGGCTCAGCCAAGGGAATCCTTGGCAGAGGCCAAACAAAAGAAGCTACCCATGGAGGAGGCGGGAGTGGGGGGTGGGTTGGGGGGAAGGGGAAGGGGGGTGGGAGGGGGGAGAACAAGGGAATCCGTGGCTGATATGTAGAACTGAATCGTATTGCCAAATAAAAATTAAAAAAAAAAAAAAAAGAAGCTACCCACTTTTGGGCTTCAAGTTTCCTAAGCTGTGAGCAAAATCTCTTTGTTTCATACATTACTCAGCCTTGAGCAATTTTGTTACAGCAACAGACAAACAAAAGGAAGACAAATAGTGAGGAAATGAAAAAGAACCATGCTTCCCTCTACAGTTCTTCTCTCACTCTTCCTCTCTCTCTCCACACACACTTTCCCCCTTGTGTCTAAAATTTAAACTCTGGCCTGCTGTGACTCATACTACTATGAATAAACCTTTTGCTATCCAATACCTCTTTTCACACCCACCCACATTGTTTACCCACATGCCTCACCAGTTTCAAGAACAGGTCCCATGGTGTTTGGCTCATCCATAGTTTCTAGTATCTTCAAGAGATCTGTCTTTGCATGTTGCGTTGATATGATCACGTTGGAAGCTGAAGCTTCCTCATCTGAGGAGCAATAGCTGTAGGTCACCCTCAGGGTGGGACTCAGGGAGAGGATGCTCTTTACACATTTATTTTGCCTAAGAGGCTTAGCTAGCAAGAACTCCCTTTCCATAAATACAGTGAAAAAGATTAAAAGAAGTGATGATTGTTTTCAATAAATAACTAGTTTACCTCCAGAAGATTCGATTGCTTTGATAATAACAGAGGCAAAGCAGAACATATTACTACCAATTAGAGTAGAAAACCACTTCTCTTTGGGCCTTGACTTACATATTTGGGGGTTCCTATTAGAGTAACAACAAGGACTCCCACAAATGAGCCCAGACAGATTAGAATAATCCATAAATTAAATAGAAATCAATACCCACCCCATGTTCCACAAATCTTATTCTGACTCAACTCCCCAAGTCTTCCTTATTTGTCTGGGATAAGGATAACATCTCTCTTATACTTATAAAGAAAAGAAATAACACATGACAAATATTTTTCAAACTAGGAATAGAAGTAAATAGGTCAGTTCACCCCTTAAGTCTATAATTATACCAGAAATTCTCATCCTGTACAGCTCCGAGAAAACCTGTCCCCTGTCACTGTAGCACAATTAATGATACCTGTGCTCTCAGCCGTCCTGACTACTCGGCGAGACTGAACCACACACATGAAAAATTTCACATGAAATTCCTCTTTATCCATGGCTATTTCCTAGAAATAAAGAGAGTTTAATCCAATTAAATAGATCTGTGGAATAATTAAAGTCTCAAAGATTGACATAATCTAGGCATACTTAAGACTGCCAGTTTTAGGACTTAGCCACATAAAAACACCAGTATATAAGGTGATATAAATAATCTACTTTTATATATACAAGTCAGGATCCCTGAACAAGCAAGTTTGCCTCCTTCCCTTTTCCAGTTGCTGAGAGTATGGGAAAGGCTGGAGGTTCCAGAGCTTTTCCCTACTTCAGGGCTGAATTCAGACAGGCAGTCAACTGGGTCTAGAATACCTATTCTGAAGCACCTCTTCAAGGCTTCTAAGTAGGGTCTGAGCCACAGGCCTACTAAATTAAGGAGCTTGGTAAGTAATCTGAATGAACAAACTTATTTCTTCTCCATTATCCTCTCTTAAAAAGTCTGGCATGATTACATGTTTAACACCTCTGGTGAGCCCCATTAGAAATCACTGTTTTAAATTCCTCCACTTATGTAAGGGTCTGCGTGTTGTCGGAGTCTAAGCCAAGGTGTTCCCAAAGTTTCTCTTCCCAGTCTCTGGTCTCTCCCCTAGCCCCACTTCCTGTGATCAGACAAGATGCACACTAATTTCCAGAAGATATAGTTCGAAATAGACTTAAGATCTCAAATCCTCATTTGTCAAGGAAGGGAGAACAAATCCAGGACCACAGCGAAAAGCTACCATGGAAACCTGAGCGTTAAAAAAAAAAAAAAAAAAAAAAAAAATCAACGAACGGAACCAGAAGACAGCGGGTAAGGGAGCCGAGGGACAGAGAAAAGCGAAGGACGGCGGACGCACTAACTGTACTCCAAGTGTGAGAAAGAGAAAAAGCCGCGTCTGAGGGTGACGGGGAGATAAGGACTAGACTCAAACGCTCCCTTGGCTTCTCAGGCCTGGCCACCTCGCGCAGGCGTCCCGCGAGCCCGTAACTCTCTGCTCTTTGACCTCTTGCCCCACCCCCTTCCCTCCTCGGCGGCTGCCTAGCCGTCTTCCGGTGCTATAAAGACGGTTCCGGTTCACGAAGGTTCCCGGGCTTTGCGTTCCGCGCCCGGCCGGAAACTCCTTTGCCTAGCAGCCGGTTCCGGTTCGGTGAGTGGCGGCGGGAAACTGGGGGAGGGGTGAGGATGGAGGGAGACTGGGCCGGGAGGCTGTGTCGGACCGGGCCCGCCAGCCTCCGCTGGGCTGAGCGGAAGCGGGGACCGCGGTGGGGACAGTGCTTTTTCTTCCGCCCCGCCCCCTGGGACCACCTCCACTCCCCCCTGCTGTCCGGTGGCGGCTGTCTGGCCCGGGGCTGGTAGCTGGGCTCGCCCAGGCCGCCCTTTCAGGCCTCTGGCTCCTGACCCGCGGAAAGGCCACCTCCCTGCGGTCACAGCAGGCCCTTCTCAGCGCCCAGCTCCACTTTTCCACGGAGAAGAGGCCGGTTGGGATTCCTGGAGTTTCCCGCCAGAGCAGGGTCCTCTCCAAGGGAGAGCTGTTTTCACCAAGGAAGTTCCGCTTTCAATCCCACCTGCTTCACCTCTCCTCTTCCTTGAGACCTGAGTGATACTTCTTGACTACTTCTGTGTCTCACGTAAACAGTTCTCCAACTCTTTTACCCTGTGGTATTTCCCTGAGATGTGATATCGCTAGTACCACCACCAGAGAGAACCGTCTGGACCCTCTGCACAGGTTATGAAACCCCCCTTAACTGCCACAATTTTCTTACCTGGCTCATCTCGTCTTGGTAATTGTCTTGAACCTTTTCTTCTTATATCCTAACGTGATCTTTCTGGATATGTGCTAGGTTTCTCTGGTCTTGAGCTTGGTGATTTCTGTTTTATCAGTACCTCTACAGTTTTTCTGTTATCTTGTTGGCAATAACTTGCTCCTTTATCACTTTAAACTCACACTTGTTAAAATTATTTAGTTCATGTGGCATACTTAATTGTGTTGGAGTGGTGGTGATTCTTGTAAAAATATATGTCGTCTTGTATAGTCTGCCGACTCTTTGACTTAAGGTTTTCATTGTAATGGGAAATTCTGGATGAAGTAGAACGTGCATAAGTATTCTTCACACAGATAATTTGTATTCAGAACTCTTGCTGACATGTGGATGACACTGACTTTGAGGTTACAGTGACACCTTAATGAATGAACCTTAACGTTCCAATTAGGCTGCCTGCCTTCCTGTCCCTTTTAGAGCTTTATTTTATCCGATTTATTCAGTTCATTATCCCAACTGCAAACGTGGGTATACTGTCACTCATCTGTTGAACTGAGTCTAGAGAGGGAGTGGATGAGTGTACAAACAGGTTCTGCCACTTGTGGCTGAGGTGATGTAATTTTTTTTCTTTCACTGACTTCTTTGCTGTGTCTGGGAACACATCTGGCATCCTCTACTGGTCTGTGAATTTTGTTGTTGTTGTTTTGTTTTTTGAGACAGGGTTTCTCTGTGTAACAGTCCTGGTTGTCCTGAAACTCACTTTGTAGACCAGGCTAGTCTCGAACTCACAGAGATCCACCTGCCCCTGCCTCCCAAGTGCTGGGATTAAAGGTGTCTGCCACCACACCTGGCTGGCCTATGAACTTCTAAGTGGCAAAGACCAGATCTTATTTGTATTTGTATCCCAGCATTCCACACTTAGTATAGAAAGTGTATGTATGAAAGAAGTTAAGTACTGTTTAAAGCTGTAGAATATTGTGGTGCTTAAGGTGTTAGTTTAGTTGGTTATCCATTTGTATTCTGTTGCAGCCAAGACTTCATCTTTTCCCCCCAGGTTTCTCTTTCACTTGTGTTCCACATTAATAACTAGCTGCTGAATATTCTTTCTGTAAACTCAGTGACTGATGCATACTAGGGATGAATTATTAGAATGATTTTCTTTTTCTTTTTGCATTTCAACTTTTATTTGAAAACAACTTAAATTTTTAGACAAATGATTTTAGTATATAAATTTGATTTTGTTTTTATACAGAATATAAAGATTTCCCTCATTAGCCGGGCGGTGATGGCGCACGCCTTTAATCCCAGCACTCGGGAGGCAGAGGCAGGCGGATCTCTGTGAGTTCGAGGCCAGCCTGGTCTACAGCGCGAGATCCAGGAAAGGTGCAAAGCTACACAGAGAAACCCTGTCTTGAAAAAACCAAAAAAAAAAAAAAAAAAAAAAAAAGATTTCCCTCATTAATCTTCCATGTGAAGGGGATTACAGGCCCGAAGAAAGACACACTCTGCACACAAAGTACACCTCGTATGTGTGGCACTGGAGACAAATAGTTGTCGTGCTCCTGCACATAAATTAGGACCGAGTGGAGGCATCACACAGTTGGGGGGAAATGTTCTAGTCAATCGGATTCAAGAAGGAACAAGACACACAAACTGCAGATAAGGCCAAGTCAGGAGCTTTAGTTAGGGACTCGGGTTCTAGGGGCTTGTGAGGCTACAGTGTGCACACGGACACGGCAGGGCAGAGCTAGTAGAGAGACTCAACCAGGGCGTGCCACTAAAGCAAATGAACTAACGGAAATGAAAGGGAGCGTGTGAGTGTTAGCATACCCAGGGCATGTTAGACCAGTGTCTGCGCAGCATGCTAAGTTAGTTACAACTTCTTCATTGGTGTGGATGAATCATTAATGGTCTCGTTTCTGCCTCTTCTGTCCAAACTCAGGCATGTCTTATTTTAGATGGAGTATAACTTTTATCTATTATTTCACCCTGTAAAAACATGTGAAGACAACGCTCATTCTGGGCCAGAGGATGACCAGAGACCTTGTTTATAAACGGTTCCAGTCCCTGCTTCCTTTCCTGGATGAAATTATCATCAAATATTCCATCATCTCCTCTAAAAGGGAATTGCCACCTTGCTCTCTCTTTCTATTCACTTCGAAGCCATTCAAAGTCACTGTATCTCCTTCTAACAGTAGATTCCTTCAGCTTGAAGATAGGAAGATTTGTCTTGACCCAGATCTCGTAGGTGGTGAGGCGGCCCCGGCCCACCCCCACAGCCTGCGGGTTGCTCACGTGGATCTCCAGGAAGTAGCTGGGCGGTCTGTAGGCGTCATTCAGGTTCTCTGGGGCTTGGTGATCGCCTTCTCCGCCATTTCGCTGTCGCCGTGGCAGCCGCGGACTCTCTCCACCGCCTCCACCTTCTGCCAACATCGCTGCCCGCTGCCGATTTTCTTTTTCTTTTACCCGAAGTAGGGTTTCTCTGTGTAGTCTTGGCTATCTTGGAGTTCACTCTGTAGACAAGGCTAGCCTCAAACTTAAAGAAGTCTGCCTGCCTCTGCCTCCTGAGTGCTGAGATTAAAGGTATGTGTCACCACCGCCCAGCAAGAAAGATTTTCTTAAAAGGAAAATTGTCCTCCTTGCTAGAATTTGAAGACATCTAAGGTTCCTTATCTAGGACTTCATGCAGAATCTTGGTCTTGTTGGTTTTTTATTTTATTTTATTTTTCCCGAGACAGGGTTTCTCTGTGTAGCTTTGTGCCTTTCCTGGAACTCACTTTGTAGACCAGGCTGGCCTCGAACTCTCAGAGATCCGCCTGGCTCTGCCTCCCGGCTCTGCCTCCCAAGTGCTGGGATTAAAGGCGTGCGCCACCACCGCCTGGCCGATGTTTGTTTTTTAAATCTCTTATTCCAACGCCATTACGAATGAAGGTTGTAGAAGCACACCACAGAAACAAGGTGTATGTGTATTAAGGTATAAATGTGGAGCTTTAGTAATCTACAGATATAAGCCGTGATCGAGTACCCAAAGCTAGCTGGAGGTTATTTTTCGGTTGCCCAGCTGAATCTCTGAATGGGATGTTTGAGGGATTGAAGCTGTGCTGTGCCCGAGATGTGCACTTGATGAGGGAGTCTTGGGTCTTTTGCCCCATCTGTGTGAGTTCATGCAAGTCATTTAACTTTTCTGAATTACTCCATATCTAGATTGTTTTCCCCCTGTACGTCTCTAAAATGAAAAAGAAATGATCTGGGATAGTTCTACTGGATACCAGAGGGTTTCTTTCTTTCTTTTTGAGAGAGCATCTTGCTGTATAATCCAGAGTGGCCTAAACTTGAAATCTTTCTGCCTTCTAAGTTCTGGTTACAATATTCTTAAATTGGTTGTCTTCCTCCTCCTTTTCTTCCTCCTCCACCTTTCCTTCTTTCTTCCTCTTCATTTTTTGAGACAGGCTTTCGCTGTGTAACAGCTCTGGCTGTCCTGGAACTTCCTTCCTTCCTTTCTTTCTTCCTTTTTTTTTTTTTTTTTCCCCAGACAGGGTTCCTCTGTGTAGCTTTGGAGCCTGTCCTGGAACTTGCTCTGTAAATCAGGCTGGACTTGAACTCACAGAGATCCACCTGCCTCTGCCTCCCGAGTGCTGGGATTAAAGGTGTGGCCCCCACCACCTGGCTTGGCATTCTTTTTAAAAAAGGTGTGTGGAGTGTGCTAATCACAATTAGAAGGTGACCTTGGTTGGTAGGATTCCCCCCCCCCACATTAATCTGGACCCTAAAAAAATTATTCCCTAAGGCAGGAGGAATAGCTCAGTAGTTAAGATCTCTGGCTGCTCTTCCAGAGGACCTAGGATCAACTCCCTCAACCCACATGGTGGCTCACAAGTATGCATAACTCCAGTTCTGGGGGATCTGATGCCCTCTTCTGATCTCCACAGGCGCTAGGCATGCACATGGTGCACAGACACACAGGCAAAATATTCATACACATAAAATAAAATAATCTTTAAAAAAAAAAGAATTATACCCTACTAAAGAAAGGGAAAATAGCCTGCAAAAATTCTAAGTAGAAGCTTTTTGCTATGTTGAGCATTTAGAAATAGTTGAAACCTAAATCTTAAGTTTTAAACCTTCTGGGGAATCCTTCCTGGCAGGCCCAGGCACTCTGCTCACTGAAGCAGCCTTCCTTGTATGCTCTTTGTCGTTGGGACCATTGAGAAAGTCTGTTGACATCACATAGTCCCTTGACTTGTTTGAGGAATCAGGAGGACTGTGGACCTGATGATCAAGTGCTCAGTCTGCTTAACTACGCCACTGAAAGTGGGTGGGTGTGTGGTTATGTTATTTAAGTAGCTCCGAGGAGTTAGGCTCTTAACTACCCCAACCCTTTTCTGGGAAAATTCATTATCTGTAACTTCACTTTCTGCAGTTGCAGCTACAATCAACCGTATTTAGAAAATAAATGGGAAATTCTCTATTTTGAGAAAGACGATATAGGAACACATACACACAGAGTGTGTGTTTCACTGTGTGGCTCTAGCTGGCCTAGAACTCACTCTGTAGACCAGGCTGGTCTCCAACCTCATAGAGATCTACCTGCCTCTGCCTCTCGAACTGTTCTGTTTTTATTACTGTTGTTAATCTCTTGTTCTAATTTAAATTAAACTTTCCTAGGTATATATAGGAAGTGTGTGTGTATACAATTCAGTACCACTTGTTGTTTCAGACAGTTGTGTTCCGAGGCTCCGAATCAATCCAAGCAGACACAAGGAGTTACCACAAAGCAAGGCTTTTTTTTTTTGGTTTTTCGAGACAGGGTTTCTCTGTGTAGCTTTCTTTGTACCTTTCCTGGAACTCACTCTGTAGACCAGGCTGGCCTCAAACTCACAAAGATCCACCTGCCTCTGCCTCCGGAGTGCTGGGATTAAAGGCGTGTACCATCACTGCCCGGCTGAGTTCAAGTCTTAATGCAGGGCAGCACAAAAGAAGTGGGGAAGGGGCGGGACTAATCAGTCAGGGCTGCTGAACAGACCCAGGGGCCGAACTGCGACCCCAAATGCTAGTTGAAGCAAGTATTTAAGCATAAAAACCACAAACATTTGTTGCCAGGTTATAATTTTTCACCAGTCAGAATTCAAAGATTAGGGGCTCCCTGAATGTTCCATCAGATAGACAATGCAAGCCTTTCAGAACAGCCAGTCAGATTCATTTGTCCTATCTGTTGTTGGGAACAGCCATGTTTCTAGAGACCTGTATTTTAAGGGGGAGATGGGTCAGCTATTGGAAGTTTCCCAGCTCCCCTAGGGATTGGGAACCTGAACTTTATTTCACCCTACAGGTCAAATGGAGTCTGAAGGCATAATACTTAAGACAAGGTACTTTTGCCTGTTCCCAGCAAGACATATACCGGGACCTTGCAACATACCTCCTGTGTGAGGGGGACCTCTGTATAGGTAGAGGAGCTTTGGTTTAAGCTGCTTTGATTTGGTTTGGTTGGTTGGTTTGGCACTAAAGAGTGAATAAAGGACCTTGTATATGCTATGTGAGGGTTTACCACCGAGCTGTGTTCCCACCCTGGTTTTTAGCAGTTTGATGGATAATGTTGAGGGGGTGGCAGAGAGGGAGTGCCTTGTACAACTGAAAGTGTTCCTTGACTGTACTCAATAAATTCTTGTCATTTTGTTGTCCGCTAACACGATTTTATAGAAGAGAATCTTAGGGTCAGAAAGTCGGTCACTTGCTTAGAAAATGTTTTCCTGTGAGGTAATAGAAAAGCAGCGGAGTAGGGAGAATTCCTAGCTGTCATTTCATTGCAGCCACTAACTGCATGATTTTTGTCCACACGATTCAGTCTCCTGAGGGTTGGCTTACTTGCTTTCTGCTTTGATGACCTGTGGTTCTCGGGCTATCTGTAATTGCTGTCTAATGCAGAGTAGTTTGCACCCACGGAGCAGTGTTTGCAAACACCTCAGACCGGTTGTAGTTTTCAGTTTTTTCTCAACAGATCAATAGCCTTTGCCATTTTTCTCCATTAATGACATAAATGTCACGTCTGTGTAAGTTCCTGTTATACTATTTGAACTAGATGCTTCACGGTGTAATATTTATGTTTTGTGTTTTCTTTCGTAGGATTTTGTATCTTTGCTAAAATCAGTGATGTAAAAAGACCTGAAATGGGTAAGACTAACTAAGGCACTCATTCAGCCCTCTTGGTTACTGACTAGTTAGGCTGGAGAGAAAGATCGAGTTTTCCAAGTATTTGCTATGTTTGTGTCTTTGTGCATAGTAATAATATTACAAGATCTTAGTCCTAATTAAATACTACCATATACTCAGCATTATTTTCCTTTGGTTAATACATTGCTTACAGAATCATTTAAGATCATTTTCTTACTCATTGAAAAAAACAAATGCACACTAGCAGTATTTATTATGTTTACTATGTATCTACTCCAAGTACTTAATATACGTTAATTCATCTCATTGTTTCAGCCATCTTACAAGGCTACCGAATAGTGTGTACAAAATATGCAGGATTGTACCAACAATGTATCAACAAGGAGAGTGAGATGCAGGTTTGGAAACCAGCTGGGAGTCATACACTGTATCCAGCAGAGTCCAGACCCTGGTCTGTAGTACTGGGTCGCACTGCCTCCTGTAGGATAAGGAATCTGAGGAAGGAAAATAGTTCATGTCGCTAGTGATATGGAAACTTTGCAATCAGAACGTTTCCCCATTTCATTCACAGCATTATATCTGTAAAGGAGCTCAGTGTACAGAAATAGCAGCCAGTTTAGGAATAAGTTGAAATGGCTACATCCATGATTCCTTTAACTTCATCTTAACCTTTTCTTTACTTTTTCTCCATGTTTGCCCCCCCCCCCCCCCATGCACTCTCTTCTTTCCTTGGTCCGCCCTCTCCCTCTCCTCATCTGTTTCCACTTTCTCATGGCTGCTATCAGTGTAAGTCACTGAGTTCCTGTTTCAGCTCTTTATGGTACAAATGTTTCTGAAGTAAGATTCTGCCATGGGACTGTAGCTAGCCATCAAGAGGAGATGATGCAAAGAGCCGTACAAATAAATTCTACTTTTTTTACAGAAAAATCAAGTGGATTAAGTTTTTAATGGCTGGTATGTGGGGGGAGGGTACATGCACATGTATGTGTAGATATGCTTGCCCAAAGGGGAGTTTGAATATTCTGTCTGTCTTATTCCGTTAAGATGGACTTACACTGACCTGGAGGCTTGCTGTTTTTGCTAGGTTAGCTGGCTGGTCAGTAAGCTCCCGGAATCTGCCTGTTTCTACCCTACAGTGCTGGGGTTACAGGCAAACACAGCCATGTCCACTGTTTACATGGGGCCTGGGGATTCAAACTGAGGCTCTCCTACTTGTCCAGCAAGCACTCCTACCCATGGAGCCATCTTTCCGACTCCTGGCTCCAGTTCTAAAGCACTGTTTTGGGTGAGGAGAGGAAATGAACCAGGATGAACAGTTTTTGAATGGTGGTGTAACTCCTTCCCTTTTTTAGTGAGAGGGCTTGCCGTGTTGTCCATGCTGATCCCAAACTCGGGTCAGCTTGTCTGCCTTGGCTTTTCAAGTGCTGCGACTTCTAGAGCATGGTTCTTTACCCAGTGTCCTGTCTTTTTAAATATTAAATTCATTATACTTAAGACATTAAAAGTTTTCTTTGGGGGAAATTTTATTATTTTAAGAACTATAAATCAGGGTGTTTTTTATTCTTGTATAGGTTTTGAGCTACTTGTTAGATGATATCAGTCAATTCTAAATGGGCCAGTTAGTGTCTTCCGTGTTAAGAAAGAGGGGTTTTATTGGACTAATTCTTTGAGAATCACTTTTATTAGGTGAAGGATTGATTCATAGGAAACTATTATTGGAAGGTTGTGTGACTTGGATCCCATCTGGACTCTCCCTAGACGATACTGCCGACGGGATGAAGATGGATGCTGGAGAAGTGACTTTGGTGAACCACAACTCCACCTTCAAAACCCATCTCCTGCCACAGTCATGTTTTCCAGAGGACCAGCTTTCACTTTCTGACCAGCAGGTTAGGAATAATTTTTTTCCTTTAATAAACTAATTGTTTTGTTCATTATAAATATTCATCTGATACAGTTTGAATGCCACACTAAAAAGTCCAAGCATATGAACTTTTTAGAATAAATAATTTTAGTGTTTGGATTTCTGCTTGGTTTAAGATAAGAAAGTTAAAACAAAACAGATGATATAGGAATTAAGAATAATATTTTTTAGAAAGCTCTTCATGGTTCCTCTGGATATTAAACTGTTGACACATAGATCTCTGTTCTTTTAAACTAGGTCTTAAAATCACTAAGCATTAGCTTGAGGTGGGCAGGTGCACAGCCATTCAGAGCTTGGCTGTGATGTAATTCAGAGTGTTTCAAGGTCTGGCCCAGACGCAGCATGTGCATCGCTGGGGGTCTGGTAGCAATGCGGAGTCTTGTGTCTACCACTGGAACAGAGCTGCATTGTCAAAGCATCCCTAGCTGACTTGTATGCATGCTAAAGGAACAGGAACACTGCTGGAAAGCAGCCTTGGGCCAGAGAGATGGCTCAGCGGATCCAGGCACTCCCTGCTAGTGGAAAAAACCGCCTCCTTCAAGTTGTCCTCTGCCTCCTCACTTATGCCGGGGGATGGACAAGAAATAAATGTAATGTTTTAAATTAAAACCAAGAAAATAGTCTTGCTCAGTAGAAAAGCCGTTGGTAACTTGAATGAGATCATTTGTCTCTGTGTGAATCTGCTTCAGTGTAGCTGGTTAGGCACTGGTCCCCCAAGTCATGTGAGTTTTGCATATATGTTTCTATTTTATTCGCATGCTAAGATTGCAACAGCACCCCTGATAAAAAGTAGTCTGTAAAGTGTTCAAAAGAATCAAAACCAAGTTGATGTTCTCGGCTTCTGTAACATGTTACAGCTTATTTTCTGATAGAATATAGTAAATGCAGTTCAGCTACCCAGTGAACATACTGTACGTTGTAGAGCAGGTAGTTACTTCCCATCTTTCCCCTTAAATCTGAATGATTTCACCAAATTGTCTTTTTCTTGTTAGTATACAACGTATTTATAATATAATAGATATATATATATATAGTTTAGTGGGTTGCAAAGTACATCATAGTCCTGTTTAGTAATGTTTTCCTTAGTGTAGTCTTCTAGTCTCTTTGTCAAAAGTCTGTTTTAAGAAAACAATCTTCTGTTTTAGATCCTGCCTTCTAGGCAGGGGACTTTGGACCGACTTTCCCCATGTTCTACAAGAAGTGCAGCTTATCATCCAGATTATTACTCAGGTATGGCTCCTTGCTTGTATTCAAGTCACCAGACACCCTTCACGTTTCTTATAGCAAATACTTTGTGTTTACCATCTCTAAAAGTGAAAACATTATCAGGTGTTGGGACATGGCTCAGTGGTAGAGCACTTACCTGTTATGCTCAAAGCCCTGGGTTTCCTCCCCGGCCAGCACTATAAAAAAAGGTGAAAGCATTGTCAAAAGTAACATGGCATTTTCCCATTATCACATCGTTTTAATAAGGTATTTATGTGTTTGCATTAAGTTGCTATTATAGTTTGGATTTAATGTCAACCAAATACTAATTTCTGAGTGGGAAAGTTTTTTTGTAATCTCCTCCTTGTCTATTTTATTATAGAAAGTAAAATAGCTTTGTTTTTTGGTTTTGTTTTGTTTTTACTGTGTATGTAATACAAAGGGTATTTGTTTCATATTGGTTTAAACCACATGGCTAACATTTCTATTCTTGAAACAATTAAACCTGAAAATTTATTTCTGTCCAAGTTCGTTCCTCCTTCGGGGCAGGAAATGTTAACTACATGTTTTTGTCTAGCGCCTGCCACAGCCATATGCTTGTGTATTCAAGGACTTTGCTACTCAACCTGGGATCCAGGATAGAAGTTAGCATTCTCTAAGTGACTCCTGTCCCTGGCCAGCGGCCTTGTTGTCTGCCTCTTCCTAAGGTTTAGGCTCTGACAGTGTTCTGCCCCTGACCTGGGTAACTAAGACTTTGCTCATGGTCTCTGGGCACCATGACTCCGGAAGATTACAGTGGTCTTCCCAGGTCTTATCACTTAAAATCCCATTTTACCACAAGTACGGGAATAACAGGAATACCATAGAGTCTGCCTACATGAGAGGGTTTTTTGGTAAGGATAAGCTTATGATAAATATGAATAAATATGCACATAATAATTATTATTATTTGGCTTCCTCAGGATTCTTTGTCAGCAAGATGAGATCTCCTCCCCTAAAAAGACGTTAGTATGATGTTCTTTTAGACTTATATTATATTTAAGTGTGGGTTATTTAGGTGGGTGGTACTACACCTTGGGCACTAGATTTCCCCTCAGGATGGGCAGTGGCCTCTACATAGTATGTGTGATTGATTTCAGTGGTGAAAAGGAACTCAGAAAGTAACTCTTTTGCCATTATTATTGAAAAGGGCTTTTTGGTGAACAAAGAAATCTGGTGTGATAGACAGTTCATTATTAATCCTACAGAAAAACAGTTGAGTAATGAAATCGGATCATTAATATTTCCATCTGAATCATGCTGCGTTTGCTTGTTATTTCATATGCCAGTTCACCATAGGATAGAAGCATTCCATTTGTTTAAAATAATTGTTTCATAATAAATAGTCTATAGAAAATTAGATTTATACCCCTTGATTAAAAACCAAATCTTATTTAACTCCACTCTCTTTGACCTCTTCTGATTTATCTCTGCATATATTCATGGTATACATTTGTTTTCTATCCGTTCATATGTTCTTCTCCACATTTATTGTTTTCTGCTGATTTTTAATCTGTGGCATTGTTAGGCACAGTCATAATCCCTTATGTATAGTTTCAAACTCCAAAAGCTCTAAAAACATTTTTTTAGATTTGATGTTAAAACCTACATGAGCTAAAATGAAGAGTTTTCTGTTTTGACTTCACTCTTGCTTATAGAGTACTGCTCCAGATTATACTGGCAAGTGTCATAGAATAACAGGTTATTTTGCTAAAATTCCAACTTGGTAATTCTGAAGTACAATTGGACCCCAAGGCTTTATGATTTGGGGTAAATGCCCAGCGCCCTCATTTGGGTCATCATTGTTTTTCCTAGGGCTTAAGTCCACTATACCTTTGCCATTGTTGATTATTATTATTAACACCACTTGAAAGCATTCATACAGTTTTTTTCTTAAATTTTAGTTGAACTTTAATACTGACAAAGATATATCTGAGATTATCCCGGTTCCTCTTGTTCTTGACTGTGGCAATATTTGACCAGATTCCAGCCACAAATTGTTGAGTTATTACACTTTTCCTGTGTTTATCATCATACCACAGTTGATCCCCATACCAAAAATCTTTCACTAAAGTTGATCTCTCGCTTGAATTTGTGACCTTTTTAAGAAAATAAAAGTATTTTGTAATAGTTTTATATACATGAGAGAAAAATAACTGAATACTGAAGTCCTGCTGAAGAGGGAAGGCTGAGCTCTCCGTTATCCTCATTCTCTGTGTACTATCTACAGATTGAAACGGGATCTGCTCATCTGTCAGGTTCACCTCGTTCTTGATTAAACAAGCTGACAGTCAGAATTTGACATCTAATATACATCCATAGGGCCCAGGGTTTGATCCCCAGCACCACACAAAAACAAAGCTGCTTTTTACCAGATACTTTAAAACCTTTTTCCTTGGCATCCCCATTCCGGTTCTTTACAAGCCCTGCACAGCCTGGTCTCTGCTGTCTGCCTGAATGCAGTCAGTCACTTTGAGCGCACCCTGTGATGGGGCTCGGTGTGGGTCTCCAGGTACCCGGTACGGTCTGATCGTAGCACTGCTGGTGCTTGCTCATCTGCTGTTCTGCCATCCTCTGTCTTCTACAAGATGGAAATAGACAGGAAAGCCCCCATCTGGAGCCAGTGATTTATTGTTCTGTTGGACCTGTCTCTGGATAAAGCCTTTCAGAAAGTCTGCTCAGACTGTTAAAAGGAAGTGACTTTTCTGAATTGTTTAGAAAGCATAAATGCAACACTTTGTCATAGTCACTCTTTTTTTTATTTTTTTATTTTTTTTTAAAGATTTATTTATTTATTATGTATACAGAACAGGGTACCAGATCTCATTACAGATGGTTGTGAGACACCATGTGGTTGCTGGGAATTGAACTCAGGACCTCTGGAAGAGCAGTCGGTGCTCTTAACCTCTGAGCCATCTCTCCAGCCCTGTCATAGCCACTCTTATGAATGAAGAGCACACTGGAAAAATTTGAAGTGTTTTTAATCCAAGTGAGCAATAAAAAGTAGATGGGACAAAAAGAATTTTCTATTGCTTTAAATTTTCAATATCTTTGGAAAATATGTTAAATTAGGTTACTAAGCTAACATGTAGTAGGTTTGGGTTTTTTTTTTAGTGTCCTGTTACTTCAGTAACTAATAAATCCCAATGTTAGCGGGAGAAATACAGGGTTATTTTCACAGTGAATGATTATCTGACACATTCTTCCTTTTTTTTTTTTGAGTTGTAGAGAGAAGTTTTATTATAGAGTCCATAGGTAAGAGCTTGAGGGGAGGGGAGCAATGAGCCTCTGAGCAGTGGAACATACTCTTGTTTTTTAATATAGCTTGTTATGTTCATAAACATGCAGCCTGTCTCTGCAGAAAACTTGCAGAGCAAAGCACTCAGTCGTTTCCTTAGAACATAACCACAATTACATTTTCGTTGTATTCTGGTTCTGTGCACATGTCTGAACACTTAATAAATTACCTTGTTTCTGGCTTTATAACTCTAATTTCTTAGTGATAACAAAATAACAGGTTAAATTTTTCTTAAAAAAAAAAAAAAAAAAAGGTTTGCATCCTGCTATTTGTCCTCTGTCCCTACCAGCGATTAGGGGTTCTTCAGCAATGCCATTGGCTAGGGCTAGACCACCTGCCTGAGCCCATGCTTCCCTCTCCAGTGAGTGCTCTAGGGAAGGCTGTTCTGACTTATCCTGGATCTCAAATTTCACATCTATCAAGATGATTTCTATTTTTTTTTAACAGATTTCTTCCTCAAAACATCTTTAGTTAGATCATTTAGCAAGAAGTAGGAAAGCCGATTATTTCTACTGTTGCTACTTTGCATTTGGCAAGCATTGTTTTCTGGGTTTCTTACTATGACTCTCTCGTGTCTGCCCTTAGAGTAACATAGTCACACATGTTAAGCCCACATGTTTACTAGAGAGGAAGAAAGTTCTGATTCATTTTGAAAATGAATTTACTTATTTTAATTATGAGCCTAAGTGACTGCACTGCCTGGTGAATCATTTGATACTAACAGCATCTTGGATTGAGTTTTCTCCCCCTCATCCTCTTTGCCCCAAATCCTGTTTTTATGGTTTACTTAAGGAGCCTTCTTTTTAAAGGCTGTTGTATTTGGGTAGAGTATTAGAAGACAGACTAAGGCGTGTGTGTGTGTGTGTGTGTGTGTGTGTGTGTGTGTGTGTGTGTGTACACGTACACATATGTGTTTGCATATGTGTGTTGAGACAATCTCACAGTAGCCAAAGCTGGCCTTAAACTTGTGATTGTCCTGTCTCAGCTTCTCAAGTCCTGAGATTACAGGTGTGTATCACCATACCCACCCTGAATACTTTAAATAACATAAATGCATACTGTTGAGCAAAATTTCTCTAAGTGTCCTTTGAAAGGAGAGCTTTAGAATATTGTTAGTATAAGACACAAATTCTGAGACTGGAGAATTATCATTCATATGTTTCCACTGAAGCTCCTTAGAATTCCATAGCCTAATGTCTGCAGTTACTTTGTCAGAGCTGTTTTAATTCATGTGGTCCCCCTAGTAGAGAAAGGAAGGCATAGAAATTATTCTGCTACTCCTAGCTAAAGCTTGAAGAGGTTTTTGTCACTCTAGTTTATAATCCAGGATTCATAAGATTAAAATAATAAATAATCCTCAGTCTGATTGTAGTAGCAAACATTGGAATATTGATGATACATCTGATGACTGTGGCTTTAAGAAACTGAAGATCGCACTAGAACCAGAGGTATATAGTGGTCATTCCTGCCATAAGCCAGCCAGTATGGACAGCAGTTCGATCTGTACTCTGAGAGATTCCCTGAGTATGGGACATGATAGCCACACAGAAAAAAGTGACACCAGCTGCTTATTAAGCAATAACTGTTGTTCATTTGAATTACGATCTCCTCGGCCCTCCACTTGCTGTCTTACTGGTCTGGCCTACCTTCTTTCAGGCCCAGGCCTGGGAGTGCTTGCAAGATATAGTTGGGGTAAAATGTTGACTTTTGGTGGACACCACGGAGTCACATTGATGCAGATAAGGCACATGGCTGTGGCAGGATTCAGCTCCTTCATCAATTTTCAGGTTAGTATGGCTGAATCAATTATAGTTTGTAGAAGTTCCCTTACTGCAGATTTATTGGCAGTTGAGACTGGGCTCTTTTCCATGAGAGACATCGTAATATGCTACGTTACTTTGGAATGCAATGATGGAACATGGTTGCAATCATGAAAAGACCTAGATCTAGTTATTTGTTCAACTTATTCAAACTTTTATTTTGTTTTAGATAACCCTTCCTCAGACAGTTTCCTTGGCTCAGATGACACAAGAACCTTCGGTCAAAGTGCAAATGGACAGTGGAGAAACTCCACTCCAGCATCAGTCTCAACGTTACAAAAATCAAGAAATAGCCGAAGTCTTTACCTCGAAACCCGAAAGACCTCAAGGTTAGTTTTTTGTCTACCTTCTTCCCAAATCCTTTTTCAGATATAAGAAAAAAGGTTATAAAATAGATGTACATTAGAATTTTCGATGAGTAATACCACTCTAGGGCTTTATACCATAACAAGATTACCAATCCATTTCCTTTGTACTGAATTTGGATGATAGCCAAATTTTGTAAATCATCAGAAGAGAGAGACACTTTTGAAGGAAGTCCTGGTGGGTGTTAAGTGTTTGGGACTCTTTAGGATAATGTTCAGATAGCCAGTACAAGTTCTAAAGTGGAAATGAAGTCAGTCTCTGCAACTTGAGTGGTAACAAACTCAGCGGAGTCTGCAGCCTTCCACATGAGCTGACTGGACGCTGCTCCACATCTGTACTAGTTAGAGCCGAGGGAGGGAGGGTGGAAGGGAGGGGTCATCGAGAACCTTTCTCCAGCTCATGAACCTCACTTATTCCCTTGCCAGAGCTGTATTGCTCATTAAAGACAGGTGTCTCAGATACTTTATTATTTTTAATTTTTGACAGTGTTGGGAAATCATACCCAGGGAATTGTGTACACTAGCAAGTACTCTACCACTGAGCTGTATTTCCAGCCCATCAGTATATTGATTTTTGTTTGTTGGAGAAGAGATCTCATGTAGCCCAGCCTGGACTCAAACTCAGTATGTAGGCAAGCATGACTCTAGACTTCTGATTCTCTTGCCTCTAACACCTAGGTCCTGAGATTACAGATGTGCTACCACGCCTGGCTCCCAGCCCATGTATTAATAAAGCTTTTCTTCTTATAACTTCTTAAATTCTCTGTACATGTCTGCGGAATTGAGGTCATTTAGATTCCTGGTTAACTCAGCTTTCTGACTGACTGAAACCAACAGAGTGCCTCTTACTCGAGTATTATCAGCAGCACGTGGACTCTGGGGTATACGGCTCTCGGGGTCGTTCTCACCTCTTTAATTCCTCAATTATGTAAGAATTAGTATATCTATATTGTAAAAATGAAAGTGTTGACAATCAGGTGAAAGCCTTTAAACTCCCACAAGCTCCTCCAAATCTCCTCCTGTCTGACTGTCTTGCGGGTAGCTGCACTCATGTTGTACACTGTGCAGTACGTGGGTTTTGTCCTCACTAAAATGTTCATGCATTATTTGACAAGTGACTTTTAAGAATTGGTAACACCATACTGTTATTTTTAATTAAATTGTTATAGAAACAATGCATATGCTTTTTTAAAATTTTAAAAATATCAATAAGCAAAAATAAAACATCATATTTCTATCAGCCTCAGGACAAACTTGTAAAAATCTTTTTCTGCCGGGCAGTGGTGGTGCACACCTTTAATCCCAGCACTCGGGAGGCAGAGCCAGGCGGATCTCTGTGAGTTCGAGGCCAGCCTGGGCTACAGAGTGAGTTCCAGGAAAGGCGCATAAAGAAACCCTGTCTGAAAAACCACAAAAGGGGAAAAAAAAAATCTTTTTCTGTCAAATATCTTTGGTGCCTTTAGATCTTTTTTCAAAGGTTAATTCACACTATGCAACTCTCTTTTTTTTTTTTTTTTAAGTATTTATTGTTAGGATGTGATATGTGTATGGGTTTGTGTGCCATGGCAGCCGTGGAGATTAGAGGACAGCTCTGTGGAGTTGATACCTCCCACTTTTACTTGGGTCCCAGGGGTCGTTAGGTCATCAGGCTCATACAACAAGTACCTTTAGTGTTGAGACTGTTTCATCAGCCCCGAATACTGGGCCTACTCTTCTCTCTCAGCTTTCTTAGCATCATTTATGTCTCGGTTACCCGACCACTATCCTATGTGGTATTGCACTTGTCAGCTGTCTCCCTGAAGTCCCCTGTGGTCTGGAATGGCTGGGGAGGAGGGCCTGGGGCTGTTTGTGGTTTAGTGGCCCGACACTTTCCTGATAGTGCCTTTGGAGTAGATAGGTTCCTTCTTCATGGTATCATTGTTTTATTCTCCATCCCCTGTGCTTTTGTAAGTTAACTTTTTGACTCAATGAGATAATGATACTGTGTTGTACCACACTAGAAGATAGATACTTGTTCCGACTCTTCTGTTGTTAGTGACAGTAGATTGACATTGGACAAGAGAGTTCACAGTCAGGTCCCTGGTGTACAGTTAGAGCGTGTGTGATTTGAATATCATCTGAATGTGGTTACTTTGGCATTATGTAAGTGAATAATTTCACTTTATCTAATCCCTTAGTAATTGCCGATATCAACCGGAAATCCTTATCTAATGATTTTTAGAGTTAATGAAACTTTTTTACTGTTTCTTATTAGTTGGCACTGTTTTTTTCATAAATTAAGGCTGTTTGATTACCCTGAAAACATTGTCTAATATGGGAAAGGTAGGATAGATGATTAGTCGTCCCCCCCCCCCCCACCCCCTGGAGCTGAGGACTGAAACCAGGGCCTTGCGCTTGCTAGGCAAGCACTCTACCACTGAGCTAAATCCCCAACTCCGATTAGTTCTTTTTTTAAAATTCTAGCTTTCAAAGTAAGTTTTTAAAAATGATTGCTTCATATAGCTTAAATGAATTTTAATTATCATGATGAATTAAGTGTGTTTTAATAGGCAAGTGTCCCATCTTTTCCTGTTTGAGTCAGTCTCCTAAGTCACCAGGTTGACCTTAACCCTGTGATTCTCCTGCCCTAGCTTCCTGAGGAGCTGGACTTGGAGGCCTGGGACACTGAGCCCATCCTTGTTAGTCTTTTAATGCTAATATTGTGACGGCTTTGGTTTGGTAACCTAGAATAGCTGGGAAGGGGACACTTGTTTGCATTTTAATGACATGGTTTTCCTGCCATGGTCCCCTTTGAACTTACTTCTGGCTCTGGTGGACTCAACCTCATCAAATGTGGGTAGGATGCTTGTTTCCTGGCATTGCAAGATACCTTCGTACTTTTGGGGAGTTGGTTATTTCAGTGTTGAGAAGACACACTTCAGGAAGCACAGGTACAAAAGATGCTGTAGAAAACCCATTGTGGGGGTGGGGTGGGGATTTAGCTCAGTGGTAGAGCGCTTGCCTAGCAAATGCAAGGCCCTGGGTTCAATCCTCAGCTCCAAAATAACAAAAAAAGAAAACCCATTGTCTTTGGCAGACACTTGCACCACCACTGCAGTCTTGCTAGCTGGGCCCTCCCAGCCCAAGGACATAAGCCCGGGGTGGACTCTGGAGTCTTTTGTTCCTTCCTCTACTGTATTATACCTAACAATCCATAGATTGTTAAAGTTAAGAGCGTATGTTTGCTTTTTGCTGTTCTTTAGATGTGGTCAGCTCATTTCGATTGAGACCATATCTGTTGAGACCGCAGTTTAATTTGTTAGCTTAGTCAGCTCTGCAACTCCATTGAGTCCTCGGGGAGGATGAAGTGGAAGAGATCATTTTGGTCAGAGTAAGTACTTCAGACTGCTAGGTAATGGCAGATGGAAAGCATCATATAAGGAGGGAAACGCTTAAAACTAGTAAGCTTTAGGTAGACTGTTAAAGGGATTTTTTTTATGTCAGTTTTCCCACTAGAAAGGGTGCAGATAATAAGAATCCTCAGTGTGCTGTAGCACACAGAGTGTGCCATACATCCTGTGGATCACAGAGCGTGCTGTACAGCCTGGTAGATCACAGAGCATGCTGTACAGCCTGGTAGATCACAGAGCACCTACAGCCTGGTAGGTCACAGTACATGCCATACAGCCTGTAGATCACAGAGCGTGTTGTATAGCCTGGTAGATCACAGCGTGCTGTACAGCCTATGGATCCCAGAGTGTGCTGGTCAGCCTGGAAAAAAACCCTTCTGGTTGCTTTTCCTAGAGGAGGAGAGCCCTCTGTTGGCCCTGTAGGAAAATTTAGAATTCACTATAAAAGTTCACTTGTGAGACTTCAGCTTGATCCATCCTTATATATTTAAAGTAATTCCTTCCAAAGAGCTTTAGGGACAGGACTGTGGAGTAGAAATGTGAATTATGGTAGGAAGAAACCATATGTGGTTAGTGTGCTACCAGTTTGGGGTGTCCAGCAAAGACTAGTCTGTTTGTTCTCCCTCATACCTCGTTATTTGCTATTTGGTTCTTGAGAAAGAAAATTCTAGATCGTGGATCCAAGAAAAAGTTTTAATTATCTGAAAAATATATGATTTAGCAATCTAAGACCTTTTAAGCGGCAGAACCTGATGTTATAACCTCGTGTATTATAGCTTACATATTTCCCACAAATGTACTTCTGTCATTCTAGCTGTCTGTCTTCTTCTTATGTCTTAAAAGGAAAAATAATTCTTACAAACTTTTTTTCTTTTTAGTGGATTATCAAACACCTTTACAGGAAAGTCAAATCATCACTGCCATGTGTCTGCATATGAAAAGTCATTTCCTATTAAGCCTGTCCCAAGTCCATCCTGGAGTGGTTCATGTCGTCGAAGTCTTTTAAGCCCTAAGAAAATGCAGAGGCGGCATTTCAGCACAGCAGAAGAGGTAAGGAAAAGCTGCAGCCCGAGATGCTGAGAGCGGCCGGGGCCTTCGTGCCCTGAAGCCGTTTCTGCCCTCACCCGTGCACTTGGGAGCCATTGTACACCTCAGCCTCTTGTGCTCTGTTTCCCATACTTAGGCTTCTGAAAACTGCTCCAAGTTCTAAGATGTTGGAGGAACATTATTGTTCCTGCTGTCTTCTGTTCCTGTTGTTTCAGAGCCTTTCTGAACTGATGTTTTCTTCAGTAAAATGTGAACTCTGCTCAACATTTTTTGCTTTAATAAAATTTGATTTGGTAGAACATCTCCTCTTCTCACTAGGAACAGTTTTCTTCAGTATATAAACAAAGTATACAAAGACAAAAAGAAACTCGTTTTTAAGAAGTTAGTTAGGGGCTGGGGAGATGGCTTAGCCGGGGAAGTGGTTTCTTTCCATCAAGTGTCAGGACTTGCATTCAGGTCCCAGCACTCACATACAAGGCTAGACATGATGGTGCGCGTTGATAATCCCGGTGCAGGGGAGAAAGACAGGCCGGTGCCCAGGGCTCATCGGTCCATTGACTAGCCTCCTTGGTGACTTCCAGGCTAGTGAAAGAGCCTGATTTGAAAACAAGACAAACAGCTTCTTGAACGACATCCAGATGTTAACTATGGCTTCTGCATGTTTGCACATGCTCCCATGCGTGTGCATACACATGAACACACACACACACACACACACATTATTTTTTTAGAGACGGTTGAATTTATTTACCTCTTTTGATTCTGAGCAGGATCTTAGAGGTCGTAGACTTTCTCAGAAGAAAGCTGTTCTGTTGACACTTGAGTTGTTCTTTTCACCCAGTGAACTAGAGGGTGAGATTGTGACTAATACAGCAAATGACTGGTCTAGCAGGAGGTTTATGTTTATTCAGTTCCTTATTTATTGTGCATCTTACTAGTTTTAACTGGCTTCTGTAGAGATCCAAATGAATTTAGTGTGCTTTCTATATATTAGTATATCAAATAATTGAGTTCTTTTAACCCAATGAACTAGGTAAAGGTGAGTTTGTATTCAAACCTTACGAATTTGGAAAGAAGTCACCTGGCTATTAATAGTGTAAGCAGGTCTAGAATGCAGGTCTTCTGAAGTTTTTTTGGTGTGCTTCCTTTCACACAACATGGTGATATGGTTCCTGCCTGGCTTTGCTTACGGTACAGAGTCAAGAATGCAACATTACTTGCTAGATAATTACGGAATTTGTTAATTGAAGATGGATGACTATTTGAAAATGGTAATGTTTAGTAAAGATGTGCTCTCCTGAGTTTTAAGTTTGTATTGAGTCTGAAATATCTGAGAGGAGAATGGCAGAATAATCACTTAATAGAGCAAAGACTACACAAGAAACTGGAACATTTGCCATTGGTGATGGAGCTGAGCGACAAGGATGAAAGGGAGATCGATTCTGAGGGCAGTGGAGGGTCACTATGGAGACTGAGCCCAGAGCCTCGTTCATACTGACTGCTCGACTGACTTCTCGACCCAGTTAATCTGTACTTCACCTTTTGTGTCATTGAATGTTGTACCAAGTATGTATTGATACACACATAAGTAGTTTTCCTTTTCTTTTCCTTTTTTTTGTTTTCTTGAGACAGAGGTTTCACTCAGTAGCCCAGGCTGACCTTCAACTCATTGTATAGTCCAGGCAGGCCCCAAATTCTTGATCCTGATGCTTCGGCCTCCCAAGTGTTAGGATTATAGGTGTGAGCTACCACCCCTAGCTTAATTTCTTCTTCGTTACTGGACTTGAAGGGTTTGTGCATGTTCTCGGATGAGCTGTAGAAAGACTACCTGGAAGGAGAACCAGCAGCAGAGCAGCTGAGTCAGGCTTCCCAGGAGCCCCGGGGTCTTAAGTTCTCTGTCGGCTTGTCACTTGCCAGCCGTCCCTTCCCAGCTTCCTGTCACCTCCACTGCCATCCCAAGGACTTGGGCTAACCTGGGCCACAGACCGGGTGAATGGAGAGCATGGAGCTGGGGCCCCTTCCTCCTGCAGCACAGTGAGGTGGATGAGGGTTGAACCTCAGCTCTAGAGTGAGGTGCAGGAAATTCTGTGTCACAGGAGTTCGGTCTGTGTTCTCCAGTTAAGCCACTTGTAGGCGAGAATAACCTGTATGAGTATGATGAAATATTAGAACAAACATCATTATCAAATGTTTAACTAATTACTTATTATTTAATCATGATATTACCAGTAATGCAGACATAGTACTTTCTCCCCACTGGAACTAGAGGTTTTGTTTTTTGTTTGGTTTTGGTTTCTGCTTTTGTTTTTTGGAGACAGGGTCTCCTACATAGCCCTGCTGTCGTAGAACTCACTATGTAGGCCACGCTGTCCTCCAACTCACTGAGATCCACTTGCCTTTGCCTCCCAGTTGCTGGGATTAAAGGTGCATACCACCAAACCTAGCTGGAACTAGAGAATTTTTTATGGGAATTTACAAACTGGTAAAAAAATAAATATTTCCTCAGAAATGTTGGAACCTATAAGAAGAAAGTATTTGCTTAGGATAAAGAAGGAAGATGATGTACTCATACCTAATTAAGAATTGGGATTTGTCTTTGAACTTCTGCAGTGCAGAACTGTGTACGAAATTGATGGTTAAGATACCACCACTGCTGTGGTCAGTTGTAAAACAGGACTCTTAAGACAAGGATTTTAAAAAGGGTTGAAAGTGGACAAGTAGTCCTGGACTATTGATTCAAGGGCAGCACTGAGGAGCTGTGTTATCTAGCACCATTCACATTAGTTTAACCTCAGACACACGTGATGACTGTGTTAGCTGCACACATGTAGAGCATTCTGGGCTGTTGTGAGCTATGTAGTGCTGTGATAGAGAATGTTTGGAGAGGAGAAATTGACATGACAGCAGAAAGTTTAAATAGTGGGAATGCAAGTCAAGGGCCAGGAAGACGGCGCGGCAGGTGAAGTGCCTGCCGCCAAGCCCGACAGCCGGGGTTCGAGCCTTGGGACCACGTGGGGGAGAACCAACTCCTGCAAGTTGTCCCTTAGCCTTCACGGTGCCCACTCCACACCACAACAAATGTGCAGGGAGATTTTTAAAACCACAAAGGTTTTTTTGCAGTCAGGTGCTGCTGTGAGCCAGCCCCTGAGCAGCATTTTGTGGAAGGGAGTGCCTCTCCTCTCCTCCTTGCGTGATGCTGTAGTAGTTTCACCATAAGCCAAACATTTTGGATTTAGCAGAAACGTTTGTAACCATTTTGCTTCAGATTCATTTATATGTAAAGCTATTAAATTATGCAAAATGGAATGAGGACTACGAAGTTAGGATTCCAAATTACAGTAATTTATAACAATAGGTTATTAGCTTGCTGAAATTCATTTTGTATTCTCTTGTGTTTTTACAGTCTTACATCTCAGTTTTATACTGTACTCTTACAGAAATGCCACCTAAGTGCAGGAGTTAATCATGTGTTACTAATAGACGTCACTTAGTGAGTATGTGATGAACGTATGTGTGTACCTGCAGGCACATAATGAACATCTTTTATTCACCATTCCAATTTTCGCCTTCAGAAAACATTTTTTTTAAGATTTATTTATTTATTATGTATATAGCATGTATGTCTGCAGGCCAGAAGAGGGCACCAGATCTCACTACAGATGGTTGTGAACCACCATGTGGTTGCTGGGAATTGAACTCAGGACCTCTGGAAGAGCAGTCAGTGCTCTTAACCTCTGAGCCATCTCTCCAGCCCCAGAAAATATCTTAACCACAATGAACTATATTCTTTTTAGAAGCTACATACTGTTAATTGTCCCAAAGAATATTTTCTTGTTGGCCAAGCTGCTTGAAACCAAAGTAACTCTTTTTAAGTTGTGTATCTCTTTTAGTCTTCAATTCTTCCTGTGTGATAGAATCTGTTCTATATTAGTATGTATTCATTGCACATAATAATGAATTTCATTGTAACATTTTCATTCATGCATGGAAGTATTTGATCATGTAAGCTCCCAGTTACCCGCTGTTGTTGGCTCCATTCCCCAGGTTCTTTTCCTCTGTCGGATTAGTTCACTGCCCCACCCGTTTCCCCTTTCTTAGTGTTGTAAGACAAGGTCTTAGTGTGTTCTCCTGGCCTGCCTCGACACTTTGAAGCTCAGAGCAGCCTTTATTTGTAGCAGTCCTCCTGTCTCAGCTCCTCAGTGATGGAGTTACAGGTGTATACCACCATACCCCGCCCCCCACCTCATCTAAAGTCCACATACGACACACGCACAGTGTTTGTCTGAGTCTGCCTTATTTAGCATTATGATCTCTAATTCCATTCATTTTTCTGCCAACAACACGATCACATTTTTTTTTTTTTTAGAAAATTTTACCAGGTTTATTTATAACTGTTTCAAAGCTGAACTATTGAAATGCAATTATTGAAACATTCTTACTTGCATTAATCTTTTACATCCCACACATATACTAAAATTTAACACAAAGATGAAAACAGAAAAACAGGCCAGTACCTGACCCCCTGTCCCTTACTTTCCTCCTCACAATTGTATACTTAGGCACCTTTTGACCCCATGAAAAAAATATGTAACATTCAGAATTATTGGAAACAGGAAGAAGGGGCAAAAATTTTTTTTCAGAATGAAATGTTTCCCCTCAGAGTGGATTCTTTTTTTTTTTTTTTTATAATGCCGAATGCTGTTTATTGAAGGAGGGAAGAGGTCTTAAATACAGGCTTACAGCACAATGGGAGAACCCTAGGGCAGAAGTTGGCTCCGATGTTTTACAATCTTGCATCTAAGCTGTTAATGCCCATTATGCAGGATACACATACAAGGAACTTCCCTTAAGCATTCAGGAGGGTGGAACCCGGCAGGGAATTAGCATAGGGAGGATATCAAGGTCAAGGTCAGCAAGCAAGGCAACAGTTACCCAAAACGAGGGCCAGGGCCCTACAGGTCCCCCTTTTACTAAAAAATGAGCTTCTGACTTAGCTTCTGATA